AAAATAAATGAAAAGAACGATAACCAGGATGAAAAAGAACCTGAAGAAACAGTGGAAAAGAAAGAAAGAAAAAAAAAAAAAAAGATCTTATAAATTGTATTAACTTTCTATGATGTCACTTCCTGGAAGATGATGTCATTAAGAATCTGGCTTTCGTTAGCTTTAAAGGGATTTAAAAAAGGGAATGAAAAAAACAAAACAAAGAAAGATGAATCAGGATGAATAGGATGTTTACAAAAATAAATATATATTGATTATCAGTTTGAAAAATATTCACAGTATAATGTTTTGTTTGTTTGAAACGTTGATTAGATAAAGAAAAAAACGCTTGGAATATATCTAAATAAAGTTTTTCTATGTAAAATTAAAAGACAAAAAAAAAACATCCTTCAGCCATGTTTTTATTGTGATATTGCGACAAAATATATGATTACCATCTTTAAAAATTACATTGAATATTTTGCGAAAACAATAGACAGAATCGCCACTGTTAATCTGGCAGTCAAGCAGATCGATAACCTCATAATTATATAATCTGGTAATTGTATTGGTCTGCATTGGTCTGTATGTAAATGGAAGCAATTACGTTCAATAATGCATTGCTACCAAATGCAACTATATTTGATGACATGCATGCAGCAGTGGCTGGCTCTGTGTGGTTTGAATTTGGGATGAACAACACCTTAGCAATCATTATAATACAGCACATTATTATACAGTATTTTTCAGCCATATTTATTATCTGACCTGGTGTGCCTGGATTAATTTAATCTAGCCCTGAAACAATACAAGGTTAAATTAAGAAAGAGCAGCGTTTCCTGATCACTGTGACTGATATTGTGTCGCATTTATACACGGCGTCCTCCTGCAGTTATATCTCCTGCAGCAAAACACTTTGATTCAATTATTGATTGGTTAAAACAGCCCCTAATTCCTTGCATATGTGCGTTCGAAGAAATGAAACATGTTTCCAAATGTAATCTAACCTTGAACGATATGAAAAGACAGCGCAGAAAGGACACGGTGGCCCTGCACTTGCCTGGGGTCACTTAATTAATTTGGAGGTACTCGTTAATACAAACCACACACACACTGCCGATGACCTGCCACAGGAGCTCAAAGAGGGTCAGAGAAGTCATACTCAGCCCTATTCAGAATTACACAAAACAACAGACTGTGACACCTGTGGCCTTCAAATTATGTGAAAACCTTGTGAGCGCACAATATAGAAATATATGCAACATATTACTCTTATTTACAAGGGGTGCAGAGTTCAAGGGAAAAGCTGTGAATGAACTGAGAATAATGTGCTTTTTAACATGGAAATTAATAGCTTTTTACGGAAGTGTCTGAATGAGTGTAGGCCCAGACTGTGAGCCTTATGTTTCCTGGAAGTCTCCTGCACAAACTGGGCATCTGTAGAAATTCGCAATTCTAAAACTGGCATGTTTTATTGAGGAAAACAAATTATAATATTTTCTGGAAAAACAATTTAATCTATATTTACAAATCCTGTTTTTTATTTGGAGTGATGAATAAAATGATCACACATTCATTACGATAGGAAACAGGAGATGCGCTTAGAAAATATTGGATGAGAAAATGTAACAATATAGAAAAATATTCAGAAATGATAATTTAACATTGAAAATATTCGCTGAATCACCTAATATAAAATCAAGAGAGGCATGTATGGTGTGCTAAAGTAAATGATCTGTTTCTTACAAACACACAGCTTCATTTCACAAGATATTAAATTATGGACTGGAGTGGTGTGGATTACTTGTGGATTATTGTGATGTTTTTATCAGCTGTTTGGACTCTCATTCTGACGGCACCCATTCACTGCAGAGGATCCATTGTTGAGCAAGTGATGTAAGGCTAAATTTCTCCAAATCTGTTCTGATGAAGAAACAAACTCCTCTACATCTTGGATGGCCTGAGTGTAAGTACATTTTAAGCAAATTTTCATTTATGTGTGAACTATTCCTTTAAAATGAACATGAAAAAAACAAACAGTTTGTATTATTTTGTTTTATGTGTTTTAATCTGTATTCAATGAGAAATTGCATGGTATTAAAGTGCCCCTATTATGCCATTTTTAAGGTTGCTAATATTGTTTTATGAGTCTCCTACAACAGGTTTACATGCATACAAGGTCAAAAAACACGTTAGTTTTCTCAAAAAATAGATTTAATTTTACCTCATTTCTAAATGATTCGTAAACGACTCGTGCGAAGCAGTTCAAAGAAGCAGGACGTTTCTCAGTGGTAAGTGTCAAGTCTTAACAAGTTTGTGGTAATTATAAGATGTGATAAAACAAATTTACTCTCACAGCGTAGGATACAGCATCTTCTCCACATGATGTTAACCTCACGGATGTTTTACTGTTTGTGGGCGGGCAAGTTGGCGACGTAGAACGTGGGCAGACATTATGCAAATGTGTTACTTCGTGACGTAGAGCCGTAACAGAATAAGATTCGAATTCCTGACGACTCGGTTAGGTGATTGCGAGCCGACTCTTTTTTGTTAGACAATAACTTTATTTATCGTGCATTGTCGGCTTCACAAAATGACACACTGCATGAAAGGTAATATTCGAAAAGGCATAATAGGGGCACTTTACATTTTTTATCAAATATTAACTTTTTATTATTTGGAATGATATGCACAAAGAAGTCATGTATAAGACCAGGAACCTGCTTTAAGAAGGTGAAAAGGCTCAGTTTTGGTTTCATGTTGGCATGAGCCTCAGTGTGCCACTAATAGCACCAAGTAGAACTGGAAAAATAATGACTGCCTGCCACTGGTTCGGCCAAATGTTTAGCTCCACCCCAAACTCAAGCCATTGGTTGAGCAGGAAGGCTGCTCAAACAACAGAGCAATGTTTGAACGTGTCACAAAAATGACGCAAAGCAGCTTTAATCTAGTTGTAGTTTATAGACAATGAACATGAGCTTTAAAACATTACACATAATAAGCAATACACATTTGATATAGATTTTCACCATCATTTAGATCTGAAGCAGAACTAGAACTCAGCTGTGAATCGCTAACGTTATTCTCCTTCATGGCTGGAGCTCACAGCCCGCCAGTGCTGGAGCAGAGGACGCTGGGAAGAGCACAATTCTTGCCAGAGTGTAATGGCTGGTGAAAGCAGAAGCAAACTGCACAGAGGCAGATAAAGCTTTCCTCAAGGTGCAGCTCCGTTGACTAGTTAACCCCTTGAAATTATGCCGTAGTTTCAGACTCCGTTCCAAAGTCCCGGAATTGGGTTACAAGATCATTTCACAGGCGACTTGCTTGTCTTACTTGGCAGTTCAACTGGCTAATTGAAGAAGGCGATTTCCGGGCCCTGAAACTGTTTAAGAAATGATACTTCAAATTTGAGTAAAGGGATTTTCTGTGACGTGGAAGTTGCAGGATTTTTTGAATATATATGAACATATTTTTCCACCAAATGCATGCTTGAAAGTAGCACATTGAAAGTCTGGAGTTAGTTGAAGATCACTTTTTAATTAAAACATATGCACTTTTTTCATTTGCGTTTGTTTTCAGGTGATTTCAGATTTAGGACTGAAAAAGTCAGGGAAATTTGTATGTAGTTTTCTATTGAATGATGTCTAAAAATCCTCACCCAGTAATCACGAAAGACGAAATTCATTTGAGCCATTTAACATCTGTTCTTTTATATCTGCTTTTTATACAAAAAACTTTTTTGATTGCTTTATTTTATTTCACATGTAAAAATTGGATAATTCTGAATAGGACATATACTCATAACTACATTTGAATAGCTGATTTAGAGTTTTTTATCGGGCTTTAACTACACTGAATCAATACAATTTTAAATTCATTCACAAAATTCACAAATACACAGAAAAAATGTGCTATCAAAGAAGATTCACCTACACGGATCAGATGTGTTGGTACGAGGGGGTTTTACTGATGCAAGAAATTGCATATGAATCAGTGGTCAAAATAAAACAATTATAGAATTGTAGCCTGTTAGTCAAAATGTTGTAATTTCTCGATTATTTTTAGACATCAAAGTATAAAACTATTAAATAACATAGTATATGTTTAATATATA